ACGATTTTCATTTCTAGTTGATCGAATTTTTTGTAGTATTTATTTGGCAGATGTGTTGCATTCTTAAGATAATCTGCTCACAGATTGTTCTCATCACTGGCGACATATAGTTCCATAGAATCGTTTTCCAAATCTAAACTACTCTGTTCGGATTCTCGAGCAGTTTTTTCTCCACCTGACTCCAACTCTCACTCAGAACACGACAGGAACTTATTCATGATTTTCGATTTCATCTTGTAAACTAAAATCCTGCCCTTTGTTTCAGAGATTCATAAGTTCGAACCGATGTTTTTTCTGACACCTTTTACATCTATATTTCTGAAAATTATAGAATTTGAAGAACGATGATTTCTGCAAGTAGTATTCCTTCATCAATTTTTGGGAAGCTTGTCCAATGAATCGATTTATTCAGATTTCACACGCTGTCATTCTTTCTTAATCAGAAAATACCATCTGCGTTCCCCCGAAACAGCGGAGCTTCGTACTGCATGTTGTTTAGCCGTTCTTCATTCATTAGCCCGAATTTCGAATAAAACGACAGGATAGTTGTAAAAAAGAGTTTATTAAAGAAACAAAAGTTGTAATTACATGAAAAGAATGTTTTGAAATGTAAAAATTATCTATAATTCCTTCGCACGTCAACAGACAACGACCCATAAATCATATTCATCAATTGAAATTAAATTATGCTTTCTTAAATTTGTTGGCAAACGAGGCTCCGAGATTTCACATTGCGCCTTGTTTAGCGAAGTCAGATGGTCTCGCAGTGACAGTCTTTGGCGAAACAGTGTTCCTCGCACGTTCCATCAAAACCATTCACTTTCGTGCGTTTCGCCGAAACAAATTGCTGAGTACTGTGTCGCATCTGAAAATTCTTATTTTTCTGACCTTTTTTTTCTCTTAATTTTTGGATACAAAAAAGATGCATAACATGAGATTCTAGGTATTTAATCACAGCGAGATAACAATGGTGATCAAGTTCACATCGAACAGTGTCAGCCCGCCGGTCATGATTTACATGGGTGTTGATAAAGTGGAGAACGAGGACTTGATCAAAGTGAGTTCCTAGCTCACACTAACACATTTAACATCTGAATTTCAGTACGGCTGGCCAGAAGACGTATGGTTTCACGTTGACAAGCTCTCATCAGCTCACGTCTATCTGCGTCTGACACCTGGAATGACTATCGATTCGATTCCAGAAGCTTTGGTTAGTTTGAAGATGTGCATCAGCTTTTCAAAATATACCGTTTTCAGCTTGAGGACTGTTGTCAACTGGTGAAACAGAATTCAATCGAAGGATGTAAGCTGAACAACGTGGCCATCGTCTACACGATGTGGTCGAATCTCAAGAAAACCGGTGACATGGCTGTTGGACAAGTGAGTTTTGTGGAATCAGATAAATAATTTTAAATATGTATCCTAACTTTTTAGGTTGGTTTCCACAGCCACAAGCAAGTGAAACACACCGTCGTGGAGAAGAAATGCAATGAAATCGTCAATCGTCTCGAGAAAACTCGCTGGAAGGGAGACATCGACTATAAGTTAGTTTTTAGAATTCTTCTATTTGAAACCAAGTCAAAGACCTGAATATCAGAAGCATATCTAAATATTTTCAGGCAAGAACGTGATGCTCGCGACGCCAAAGAACGTCAGAAGCTGAAGAAATTAGAACAAGAGCGAAAGGATCGAGAGAAAAAAGAAATGCTGGCTAAGAATGAACAGAAGAGGATACAAAATTACGAAGACGTCGATTGGGATGCCGGAGCGTCTCGCAATGATGAAGACCCAGGAAACTTGTCCGATGATTTCATGTGATTCCCAATTGAGGCTCCGTTTTGA